CGAAACAGCTGCCTGAGCGCTACCGGCTTCATGGTTTGCCGGGCAGCCCCCAGACCCAGCGCCCCCGGCTGGGGGCTTCCCCAGCGCAGCTGGAGCCTGGGAGGGGAAGCACCCGGCCTGGGGCATAGGGTCTGGAGGTCTGGGGGCTGCCTGGCAAACCGTGAAGCCGGTAGCGCTCGGCCAGCTCTGCTCTTCAGCTATGCAGAGCTGAGGTGTCTAGGGGGAGCTGCAAGCGGATTCCCCCACAGCGGTGGCAGCGGCTGCTGTTGCTGCTCCCCCCAGACACCTCAGCTCTGTGCAGCTGAAGAGCCGAGCTGAGGTGTCGGGGGGAGCAGCAGCAGCCGCCGCGGGGGAATCCGCCTGCAGCTCACAGCCTGCCGGAGCCGCTCTAAGGTAAGCAGGGGACTGGGGCAGGGATGCCGGCAAAGCTATTTTCCCGGACGTGTTCGGCTTTTTGGCAATTCCCCCCGGACGGGGATTTGAGGACCAAAAATCCGGACATGTCCGGGAAAATCCAGACGTATGGTAACCCTAGATTCTCTCTCCTCCCAGCCTCACTGCTCCCTGGGGCATCTCTCCTCACCTGGACTTGGCAGCACGGCCTCCCTGACTCGCCCCAGGGCTTCTCCTCTTCTCCAAGCAGAGAAGTCCCAAGACAGCAAGAGGGAGAAAAGTGTCAGGCTCCTTGGATCCAGCAGCAGTTCTTCCCCACCTCCTCACTTCACAGCCTGTCCCAGGACCCTCTCTCTGCTATAAGGCTTCCGTTCCCCACCACTACGTCCAGGCTGGAGGAGCTGTCATTCTATCCCCTCCATCTCCCACCGCACATCACCAGGAGCAGCCCTACCCATTTTGCCAACCAGGGTGGAAAGCATTTTCAGCACCCACCCAGCAGCCAAGCGCCCCCCACCCACAACAGAGGAGCACATGGGGTTTGGCACCCCCTGGAAGTTGGTGCCCAGCCCCTAGAACCGGCCCTGCCCACATCACTCCCGTCAGTCACCCCCCCACACCTCTAAATTGGCCTCCGGCTCCCCCCTAGTCCCTCCCTCCCCCATTCTCCTTTCACAGCGTCTCTGCTGCTCACCACAGCCCCTGACTACCCGGGTCACAGCTTCAGTCTCACTGAAACCAGCGCGCGCTGGCAGCCCATTTTATTAAGGGCAGCCTCAGCGCTCCCTGCCGCTAGACTATAGGAAAATGGCGGCCACCACGCCAGCTTCAGCCCCCGCACAGTAACAGGAGAGGGCGGCCATTTTGAGTAAGGGACAATCCCCGAGCTGTCAGCATCCCGCGGCTCTCCCGGGACAGGGAACAAACACCCCCGGCTTAGAGTGGCGGTAAAATCGCCCGCGGGCAGCAACGGGCACAATGCTGGGACCCGTCAGTCTCCCCGGCCCGCTGCCCCTCGGCCGCCGGGGAGGAGCTCGCGTCCCCACGCCCCGCAGCCGTCCGTGGTAGCCTGTCTGCGCCGCCTGGCACACCTCGTCTGCCGCCACCTCCTCGTGCCCGGGGCTGGGATCGATCGCTCGATCGGCCGCTCGGCTGCTTTCCCTGCGCGGCCTGCTTGTTGCTAGGCAGAACCCGACGCAGTTGCCTTGGTTTCTTCGGCCCCGCCTCTCGCCCGGGGGTCGGGAAACAGCGGCAGGAAGCTGGAGGGGCCTCGGTGCAGCCCGTTGTCGCTCCGCCATGGAGCCCGAGAAGGTGAGGCGGGGGCAGGGGGAGGCTGGCTGCGCCCCGCGGCGTATCCACGGCGCTGACTGGGCGTTAGCGTACAGCACCGCCCGTGTGCGCAGGA